TGCGTTTTCTCTTGCGTATCCAAGGAAACGTTGCTTATTGGAGTGTTTGCACCTATATGGCTGATCTTGTTGCCTTCACTGCCGAATATAAAAAAAATTAATTACTCACTATCATTTCTCCATTACATTCTAGTTCCCTCTGCTGCTCCTGTTAGTCTTAGTGTGGGAAAAACTTCCTTTTCCACCATCACGTTCCAGTGGGGGGAGGTGCCTTGTGCTGATCAGAATGGAGACATCACAGGCTACTCAGTGAGGTATGAGGTAGTAAGAGGTCCAAATACAGGGACCGTGGTGAAGATTACTGGGGGAAGTATATCTAAGACTACAATCTCAAATCTCGATCCATCCACCAACTACTCCATCCAAGTAGCGGCAGTCAACAGTGCTGGTACTGGAGAGTACAGTGATTCCATTACTGCAATGACTGATGGTATGTAAGAGTTTACAGATGAATGTAATTAACATGTGCAAATCTATTTTTGTAGAACTACTTTTGACCGTATCAGTTTCATCTTCGAACGCGACATCTGTGACTGTAGCTTGGACCCTGACTAACGGAATGAATGCTACCTCATATGACATCTCCTACTCCAACACTAACAACACTGACTGTTTCAGTATTTCTAACACCGTCCCTGGTATTAGTGGGACATCATACACTCTGACTGGTCTAGAGGAGGGAACTGAGTATTCTATCACTATCACTGCCACTCTGAGTGAAGGAGGCGGCAGCGGTGCTGCTGACATACGGACTGAAGAAGGGAGTGCAGAGGTCTCTATCACAGACTCTACAATGACTGCTGGTTAGTGTCCCTGTAGAGAGGGTAACACTCTGTTCTCTAATCTGATCTTTACTGCTCTCTCCCATGCTCACAGCTCCATCTGCCCCTCCTATTGATGTGGTGGTAAGAGTGGAGAGTTCCACTAGTATCACAGTCCAGTGGAGACCAGTGGAGTGCAGACATCAGAATGGAGAGGTAACAGGCTACTGGGTGAGGTATGGGGAGGAGGGGAGCAGCGAGGTCCAGATGGTGTCAGGAGACTCCAGTGGAGAATTACCACAGTGTTGGACTGACTAAGAGACAGTCTACACTGTGCAAGTGGCAGCAGTCACCAGCTCTGGTACTGGAGACTACAGTGATCCTCTCACTTTTGAAACTTCTGATGGTGAGTATATTACATGATCTCATGGTTACATATGCTGTA